GCAGTTGTAATGATGGCCGATTGAATTTTTTCAAAAGAGTTATGCCTCTTTGAAATATTAAATTTATGGAAAATGGCCTCGTAATTGCTCTCATTTTTTTTTATTAAACTTATAGTATACTATTATAGTAATGCCCTTGAAGGTCAGTTTGAAATATTTAGTATACAAGAAAAACAACTTTTTTTTTTCCCCCAAGCACATTTTTTATTTATAAATATTTTTGAGAACAAAAAAACATGTTGTTTTTTTTAATCATGTTAATATTGCTCCTTGATAGATAAACTAGAGGCTCTCAAGAGCCTGTGTCGCTCACCTGACATCTACTTGGGTTTTTGAAATCATATAAAAAAAGATAAACATCATAACAGATACTTATAATAATGTTTGAGGCCAAATTTGGTGTAATATTGCTATGTTTGCTTTCATTCCATTCAGTGGTTCTCTAAAAGAAGACATTTGTAAGTATTTCCCGTAGGGTCCTTTGTTAAACTAAGCCCCCAGCTGGTGGCCATCTTGGATGATGGATCGGCTACAAAGTAACAACACTTGGTCAGCACCTCATAGGGAACATTCATGCTATGTTTGGTTTCATTACATTCAGTGGTTCTCTAAAAGAAGACATTTGTATGTATTTCCCATAGGGTCCTATGTTAAACTAAGTCCCCCCGCTGGCGGCCATCTTGGATGATGGATCGGCTACAAAGTAACAACACTTTGTCAGCACCTCATGAGGAACATTCATGCCATATTTGGTTCCATTCCATTCAGTGGTTCTCTAGAAGAAGTTAAAAATGTAAAAAGTTAACAATGACGACGGACGACAACAGACGCCAAGTGATGAGAATAGCTCACTTGGCCCTTCGGGTCAGGTGAGCTAAAAATGTGCGACTAGGTGGACATTGAAACTCTGTTCTTTTATTTCTACTTGCAGGAACTGAAAAGTACAGAAACAGAACCAAAGAACATTAATTTTTAATTAATACAATATTGAGCTCAAAGTCAATCTAGTTGTCTTTCTTAATCATACAGGATATTTACAAAAAGCAGCTGCATACACATGCACCAGTAATAGCCAGCAGTGAAGACAATTAAATATCTGTGTATGGTGATATAGCAATAGAAATATCACATACATCATAGTAAAATAGAATATAGACAATAGAAATGGAGTATGTCAAAGAGACAAAAATATGAAAATAGAATATAGACAATAGAAATGGAGTATGTCAAAGAATCAAAAATATGAAAATAGAATATAGACAAAAGAAATGGAGTATGTCAAAGAGACAAAAATATGAAAATAGAATATAGACAATAGAAATGGGGTATGTCAAAGAGACACACATATGAAAATAGAATATAGACAATAAAATTGGGGTATGTCAAAGAGACAAACATGAAAATAGAATATAGACAAAAGAAATAGGGTATATCAAAGAGACAAACATATGAAAATAGAATATAGACAATAGAAATGGGGTATGTCAAAGAGACACACAAAGTCATATGAAAATAGAATATAGACAATACTAGAAATGGTGTATGTCGAAGAGACAAACAAATGAAAATAGAATATAGACAATAGAAATGTGGTACAATGTATGTCAAGGAGACAAAACTATGAAAATAGAAGAGACAACAACTAAATAAAAAAAAAAATTCTACTTGATATAAAAATTATGGAGCACTTATTGTTTTTTATTTGTTTGAGCTTTTGATTTTGCCATGTATTTTCTGTGGAATTTGGTATTTTGGGTTTTTTACTTTTTAAAGCAACAACTCATCACAATGAAGTATTTACACTCAAAATGAGTTCCTGACAGAAAAAAAAGATAACAAATTAAAGAAAAACATATTAAAAATCATAAAAACGTTACCCTTAAAAACCTATCGCAAAAAAAATATATATATACAAACCATGTTTAGAATCTATAAGAAAATAAATGCATTTGAACAATTAAAAACATATTTAAAAAATATATATTTAGGACCAAGATAAAATCATATGAAAACATATGTTTGGGCCAAACATATGAAAACATATGTTTAGGACAAACATATGAAAACATATGTTTAGGCCAGGTATGAAAACATATGAAAAACATATGTTTGTAAAAAACATATGAAAAACATATGTTTTTCATATGTTTACATGTATGAAAAACATATGTTTTTCATATGATTTTAAAAACATATGTTTTTCATATGTTTTCCATATGTTTTTCATATGTTTGAAAACATATGTTTTCATGTCGGGCCTAAACATATGTTTACATATGTTTTCAAACATATGAAAAACATATGTTAAACATATGAAAACATATGTTGCAATTTTTCCTATGTAGAAGTAACTTGTATAATAGTAACAACAGTTTACTTATACTTTTACATGTTTTATAACAGCTATTTTATTTTTCCGGAACGGACTGTATTGAATAAGTACTCAGGAATATATATTGTAAAGCATAGTTGATGAATAAAGAGCACCAGTGACTTAAATAAAGAAATACTATAAATTCCAAGTTTCCAAATTTCGCTTTGAAGTAAAGATTTGTTGACCAATATTTAAGCTTAAAGTCTGCTAGTTGGGTCTTTTATCTGTGTGTATTTGAACATATCATTCAATTAGAATGGAATAATGGTGTTTTAGGTTATTATCAATTTAAATCAGTATAAAACAAATAGGATGATATATTAGGGTTTATACCACACTATAGATCAATGGGTTATAAGGAGTAGGTGTATTTAATATGTTTTACCAGCATAGTTTTAAAGCGATTATTATTGTTGCTAAATTGATATTATAAAACTGTGCCACAACAAATATCCCCTCTCCAATAAACTTAATTTTTCCCAATAGATATTTAAATCATTCATTCGTTTACAAATAGTCGGATTCTTTGATTTACTTAGACGGTCATAGGAAAAATACGGCAATAGATGACAAGAACACTATATATGATAGATCGTAAAAGAAAACTTGTTTGTCCTTTGCTTGGTATTATCAATATTCAATCAATTTGATTATCGTTGTTGTTTTATACTTACGATCACAGTTATTAAGAGCCAGTCTGTGGTAAAATCATGCAAAATGGTCCGAATCCAAAATTATCAAATCAGACTGATATTTTGTATTTTTGATACCTTATATGTAATAACTGTTTGTGCAAAATATTTTGAAAAAATATTCAGCCATTATTTGTGTATGCAGAACATTCGATAATTGTCCACTTCTGTACTGACAAAAAGCCATTTTAAGCCTATTTTAGGGTATTTTGACCTGTTTTGTTGTATTATTATAGAAAAGTTGCAGCTTAATGATAACTGATACCTTAACAAACAACTTAAAATGACAGAAAATTAGGATAGTTTTCAAAGTTTTGACATTTCTCAATACCCCTACTGGCAGATTGATATTGCATGGTTTTGAAAAAGTGCCGATTCAGCAAAATTTGTCTTTTTTAAAGACCTGAATCTTGTAAGATCATGTTTTGTTTTTAATAAAATGTAATACAGCATGAAGCTTCTATATTTATCTACAAAATGCAAGAAAATGGTGCTCGGCAAATGATACCTTCTAACGATAAAATAACAATTTAACACAAGATGGCAATTTTGCCATATTTATGAATTTTTTATTGGTTACAAGAGAAACTTTACCAATGTATGTGATAGTAAAAATATAAGAAAATAATGACAGATATAATGTTTATTGCTTATCTTGCTTGATTAAACTCAGTTTAACTTAGTTTTAATTGAAAATATACTACAGAAGTAGGCCTAGTAAGACCCCTTTTAAGCCCGAAAATTTAGCATTTTTACAATTTGTTTAAAATACATGTATTAACTTATCGCTACTTATAGAAGTCACTTTTCAAAAGTTGAATACTTCAGTTATTTTAAAATCATTTTTTAATGGGCTGTTTTTTTACAATACTATGAACATTCAACAGGTACTATCATCATTAATTTATGTAAAATTTCTGAAATTTTCACAATTTTAGCATTTGTGCTAATTTTAGACGTTTGTTGTCTAAAATGGATATGGCCACTTTTGTTCAGTCTTGATATTTAAATACATGTTGTATTTGATGATATTACATACACATATAAAAATTGATATTGGGTGCCATTTTTTTTTATATTGGAACTAATCTTTATAAGCTTTACGTCAAATATCAAGCAGATGCTGAGAAAAGTGTTACTTAAATTTTGTGACACTGACATGAATGACAGACATGACAGATAGTGATCCCTATGTAGCTTCTGGGATAACAGTCGACATAACAACAATGTTAAGTTTCCTCATAGAATGTAATCTCCAATAACTTGAGGCATGTGAATAAGACATGTAAGATGTAGTTAGCCTATAATACTACCACAGACAAACAACTATATTTCAAATGGAAATAAAATTTATTTTATACCTACATGAATAAAATCAAATATACAGATAAATGGTTCAACTGTGGTGCAGACATTTTCATTAAAATGGTTATATAATTATTCAGGCTGTTTGCTTATAATTTTACTGTCATATAATCATAATAATATTAGCGAAGTCTGCCATCAAGAGAAACATGCAAAACGGTCTGAATACATGCAAACAGTGATAAGATCTGAAGCCAGGTCGGATGACTATTCAGGTCTAAGTTAGTAAGTATGCATCAATAAGAGCTTCAATCAAAACATCCTGTTGTAATATTGATTGTGTTTCGTCTGTTTTCCTCTTTTCTACTACAGATCAGAACAATTTATCGACTTGTATTGTGCAGGTACAATATAATTCAAAATCAAATCAATAATTTCTGATGATAATTTTGTGGAAAAAGCCATTGTACTTTTTGATACATCATCCCAATTATAAACGGTGGATACTTCCATTTCAAAGGAAATGCAAGCCTCTGTTGAGTTTCTGCCGGTCAGAAATGTTATCTATTTCCCAATCTGATGTTAAATATTATGATAAATTAGTTGATGCCGTGAATATACATGTACTCCTATGAGAACCTGACCATCTTTAATTTGGCTTTCATCTCCATCTAAAAAGATAAAAAATAAATCTACAAATGTACTTTAAAAAAATAATATAGCCCTTTAAATTAAAGATAAATGAATTCTCAAATATACAATAGCCATGATATATGAGATAACTATGAAATTTATTTGGTTGGGGACCAATGAAAAAAATATATAAGATATCTCAACTGGTGGAGTAAAATCATTGCTTTACCACATCTAGTATATCTGATAAAACCTCAATGTCTTAATGCAAAAACTTAACCAAACCATTCATGCAGAAATTGTAGGCTAAAATGCCTTATCAATAGTAACCATGTTGTACTACTTAAGATATCTATCCACTAGCTATAGTCAAGTTTCAATGTAATACCATGTCTATTATCTTACAGAGAGACCTAAACACACAAAATTAACAAAGTTGCTCAAGTGAAAAATGTAGGTCAACATTTCTTTTATAAAAGTGAATCATGTTGGACTATCCAAAATCAATACACTGGTTAAGTATCAAAGCTATACAATTTTGTACCTGAGATATTGACCTTAATGCAAAATACTTAACCATGTCACTCATGTGGAAAATGTACATGTAGGTCAATGTGACCTAATTTTTATCATTTACCCAATTGCTCTACCCAAAACCTATCCACTGGTCAAATATCATAGCTATACTACATGTTTCATGACTATATCAAGTGTCACTTAAGTGAAAATGTAGGTCATAATGACCTAATTATAAATGTTTATTAGGAAATTCCAATATGAGGTCCTTGATTGAATCCAAGTCCATGATAAAATAATACAAAGCTATACCCAGTGCTGTAAATTCAGAAATTATTGCAATTTTGTAATGTAATTTTAGACTGAAATGCGAATTTAATATTTGCAATGTTCAGAAAAATCCTGTTTAATTTATATAGTAAATTTCAAAATGCGAGTTTAAATTAGTGCGATTATAACCCTGTCGCATTTTTCGCAATAATGAAAATATCGCAATAATTTCAGAATTTACAGTAATATTTTTGACATTATCTCTTTTTTGGTAATGGTTAAAAATTTTACCACTGGTCGTCTCATGATTCCCTAACCTCCACCCCTTCCCACTAAATGGATCTCTGTTCATTTTATAATCAGTTTAAAATTTTTAAAATGCCTTTCAATTGCCCCTGTAAATAAACTATGTGGGTATGTATAAGAACCCTGCCACATCCGATCTCTGATTTTGTTAGATGTATTTATGCTTTGTGTCAATCTGATGAGTTAAGCCTCAACTGACACATGACTGCTTTCTTATGTTGTACTGTTACACTACTGTCCCAGGTTAGATGAGGGTTGGCGCCTTCAAACAAATATAACCTCAAAGTGGTTGTTGTTTGTTGCAGTATACCATATTTGTTTTTCGTTCATTGTTTTGTACATATATTTACTCATTCTAAATAGTTTAACATTTGTGAATATTGGGCCTTTAATAGCTGACTATGCAGTATGGGCTTTGTTCATTGTTGAAGGTCATACAGTGACCTATAGTTGTTAATGTTTATGTCATCTACATGTAGTCACTTGTGTGGAGCATTGTCACATTTGCAATCAATTCAAATCACTTCTTTTTTTTTATAAATGCAATAACATTCTCATACATGTAAAATGTATGTTTTCTTACCATAATCTTTTTTGTATCAACTATGATTCCTCCATCAGCTACTGTTTGTCTTATCTTGGTAAAACACTGCTTGCAGAGACCTACAATGTATGCCTTGGTGAAAAAATGGAATAATGCAGCCAGTCAATGGTACCATACACACTACAAACATCAATAAAACACGATCATGTCAATGTCCAGATGAACAATTTTTCAAGTGTGAACAATCAATCAATTTATAAACCTGTTGTTCTATGGCATGATGCCAGTGAATAAATTATAATAAACAAATCTGTTTTATCAAATTAAAGGTTAAAACTAATTTATTTACAAAAAAAGCATGCCTCATTCGAATACAATGTAACAAGGACATGATGGAGACAATATTAAAGTCAGTAAGCAGAATGAATATCAACATGATCAAGACTACATGTTAAACGTCATACAACTTCAAGTGAGAAACTCACACCCTATAAAAAACCTAGATTTTGTGCTTTCATTTCAGACAAATAAAAGGGGAATTGAGATTTTAGTGACAAAAACAAAACAAGTTTAACCTCACTACATTTATGTGTGCCCTTTCCAACTACGGAATATATTGTAGGTTGGTTTTTACATGTAGTACGGCCGGTATGTCCTTGCTTCAATAGAAATTTATAATTTACAATTGTTTGTATCTTGACCATATTACATGTACATGTAGTGCAGGTTGTTTTTTTATATTTAATGACTCATTTCTGGTAATTTACAGCTCGCAATTAGATGCTGGTTGTGCGTGTTGAATACATCACATATCTACATGTATTAGAAATACATGCCTTTTTCCATATACATGTATATATGTTCATTGTATCACATAATTATATACCTCGCCACTATTTCATGCATATGTCGCAGTTTTAAAAATGAATCTTTTCATAATACAGTGGTGGATCCATCCAGGAGGGACCTGTGGTCAAAAGAATTATGACGTCTTGAAAGGCCATTTTATTTTATGGCTATGCCTATGGCGCCTGCATCGCAGTAAGGCGTCAAACATGTCAAAGCAAAAATAATAAAATAGCCTTTCAAGACGTCATATACATTTGGAATAGGGACCAGTTGGTTAGAACCTTCCCTTTTTTTATGATTAATGCTTTTGAATAGGGACACATGGATGAACCTCCCTTTTTATCCTGCTAAGAACCACCATCCCCCCGCCCCCCCTCCCCCTTTTTTTAAATTGGCTAGATCCACCCCTGTCATAATTAACTAATTTATTTTTGCAGTTTACCTGACCCTTTTGGAATTAGTTGTCATTACAAAAGTCAGTATTACTATGATAGGGTTAGTGTGGTTCCTCCATCACTATCAGCTTTTCGTCTTTTGGAGTTTTGCCTTAATGTCAGCAGGACGATCTTTGAATCCACACTTTGTTGAATAGTCCCGCCAATGTATCCCAAAAATACTCTGTGCCATCGGCATGGACATATTGACAATTTTATAGCAGCACGATCAACAGAAAACAATGTCACTTATGTATATAAAATAGTCCTCCTGGAACACGTGGAAAGTTTGATAAACAGGCCTCACTGCCCTCAGTGCTGTGGATAAATTCAAGGTGGTGGTTGTATCCATTGTACAAAGATAAACCTTGTCTAACAGATGAGTTGTATAGTGCTTTAATTGTCCACAACAACCTCCAAGATTAGAAAAATCGGACCGAACAGAGACATCTGCTTTTCATCACTGGAAGCTGCCATATTGCCAGTGAAAGATTTCCACTAAGGGAGACAATTTAACCACAAAAATAACATTGAGGTTACCTTTGGGTAACTTAATGTTAAATTTTGCAAATTAACAAGAAAAAACCATACATTTAGCCAGAAATATTTTTCAACATAAAATAAATCAATTTTAGCCCAGTTACCACCTACTTTAAGCAATTTTAGTTAAATAACAAGAAACGAAAACAATTAGAATTATTGCATTTTATGTTTATTTTAATAGTATTTTGGATCAACTTTCCATTATTTGCCAAGCTAAATTGTTTTACCTGTCTTAGAACTGATATACACCTTTCAAAATATTATAAAAGTTAAGAATAACAAATATGATCTTGAGAGAAAACTGCTATTGAGTACATGTAGTATATACAAGTTGTTTATTACATCTGTTGCACGAACTTTCTGGCAACCTGCCAAACGGTCCGAAATTCTCAAAAAGCTTTTTTTTTTGGTTATTTAATAATGTTCCTTCAAAATATGATAAAAATAATATTTCATTTAAGAGTTATATCAATTATCCAGACCCTTAAAAAGTGCCTAAATTAGGTGTATTTTTGAGCCATTGTTTAAAATAATTCACTAATATGCAAATTAGTCGGTTTAATGGAAAATAGCGCAAATTAACAAACAACATTTTTTTTATCATAACTCCTGAATACCTAAAGGTTTTGGAAATATATATAATTTTGGCAAGTTGTAACTACCAATTTGGACGAAATTTGGGATTTTGCATGGTTTTATGGCAGAATGGCTCTTAATGAAATTCAGCTCATCATATAAAACTACGTAATCTTACATGATGTGGGAGAAAATCCTATATTTAATTGGTTGCTTGTCAATAATCAGTCTGTTATAAATTAATAGTTTTTACAATACAAACAACTATAAACGAAACAAATGACAAAAACCAAGATAACACAACTCCCCTAAGATCTTGTACACATTAAGCAGGACGGCGTTGTTTAAGTAATCCATAATTGTATATACTTCCCCTGTATTAGTCAAGTTAACACTGTTTTTTTTTTTTCATTTATGAATCGTATGTAAGTTCATTGTACGAGCATCAATACAACACTGGTTAATCATTAGTCATCATATCGTTACTCAGTTTTCTAGTACTGGCCTGGTGTTTGTCAATTTTATCATAATCTGTTCATGTATAGCATGTTCAGCCTAGATAACACCTTGCACAATGATTACTTTGTACACATACATTTCGTTTAAAAAAAAACGTTGTTCAACTATAGAAAATCATTATAGGAGTTAGACTTTGTTTTGGAAAGACGGTTTATAATTACACTTTGAGACGACCCAAGATTTAAATGCTACCTGTAAGTGTAATTGTAATCCTAGTCGTAGGTGTATGACAGTTTCCGCAAATGTCTAATATACATACATATGTTTTGGGGCAATTTTAATCAGCCAATATAACCAGACTTGATGATGCAAGATATATAGTCCTGTTACAGTGCACATGCTGTTGGAATTCTGTCTTCGTGTGCCATAAAGGTAGAAAAAGGAAATTATGGTTTACATAATGCTAAATAGAATTTTTTGTAGTATTTTCGATAGCTTGTTGTGGAATTTCTTGCCATCTAAGAATTCATTGCTTGGAATGTAAAAGATGATGACCGTGCCCACTATATGTTCATTCTATTTTATTAAAGCGTCTTGCGATTTGCACTAGCTGGCACTGCCATTGTTAGGTCTCGTCAATATCGCAACGTGTCTCAAAATTGCTCTCAATTAGTGCCTAATGAAAACGATAAATCGTTTGTTTAACACAAAGAGTAAACACATAGTCAGTATATACACTGGCAATGAAAATTAAACTTTTTTTCAGATATTAATGCTTGACCTTGTTTTCCTTATTATTTTCGAAAAGTACAGTTTAGCAATAAAAAGGTATTGGTTTCCACTGGTCATTAGTAGGTCGTGAAATAAACATATGCAAATCACATGCGTTCCTGTCGACTGATTGTGATGCTCTATCTACCCAGCAGTGCATCTTCAAAAACGAAAGGTAACGAAATAATAATTGCTTCGCATGGTCGAGTAAAGTATCCTCATCTGTCGTTCGAGTATAAAACAACACCAATAACTTCCAGATTCTACTGTAAACATAGTTAATTAGAGGGCTCCCATTTTATTCATTTTCAAACATTTCTTTTGTATATATCATATGTTGGTATAGTGGTCGTACGCTTGTGTATGACATAATCAGCATGATCAGACTTTGTACTATTTTAACTGTCTACATTTGTATTATAAGGCATGTGATTTATGTTTTTATTCTTCTTTCCTAAACACTTGTATTGCTTAAGATATCGGTGTCATTGTGTAAGTCTTTTGAAGTAGAATATATTCCTATTACTTTTAAATGTGAATGCATATAAGTATGTACAGGTAATCAGTACTTTTACAAATGTATTTCCAGTGATTCCTTATAACTTAGAAAATAGTGATTCTATTTGTATAAAAAAAAACGCAGTCGGTATCATACAATTTGCAGTATTTTACTTGGAGAAAAATTAACTTACAGCAAAATTTTAATTTAGCATCATAAAAAAGAAGTAACTTGTATAATAGTAACAACAGTATACTTATACTTTTATTACAGCTATTTCATTTTTTTTTTATATTGAATTGTCCCTCAGGAATATATATTGTAATACATAGTTGATGAATAAAGAGCACCAGTGACTTAAATAAAGAAATACTATTAATTCAAAATTTCCAACCTTCGCTTTAAAGTAACGGTTTGTTGACCAACATTTAAACTTTAAGTCTGCTAGTTAGGCATTTAATATGTGTTATTATCAATTTAAATCAGTATAAAATAAATAGGATGATATTAAGGTTTATACCACACTGTAGATTAATGGGTTACAAGGATTAGGTGTATTTAATGTTATGTTTTATTATAAAACTGTGCCACAACAAATTTATCCTCTCCAATTAACTTTATTTCTCCCAATAGATATGTAAATCATTCATTCGTTTACAAACAGCCGGATTCTTTGATTTACTTAGACGGTCATAGGAAAAATAAGGCAATAGATGACAAGAACAATATACATGATAGATCGTAAACGAAAACCTGTTTGTCCTTTGCTTAGTATTATTAATATTGATCCAATTTGATTATCGTTGTTGTTTTATAATTACGATCACCGTTATTAATGAAATTCAGCTCATCATAATTTAGTTGGTTGCTTGACAATAATCAGTCTGTTTTATATTAATAGTTTTTACGATACAAACAAATTTAAACCAAACAAATGACAAAACCAAGTCAACACAACTCCCCTAAGATCGTCTACACATTAAACAAGACGGCGTTGTTTAAGTAATCTATAATTGTATATACTTCACCTGTATTGGTCAAATTAACATTATTTTTGTCATTTATGAATCGTATGTAAGTATATTGTACGGGAATCAATCTTATTGCGTTTGTGAATATTCATACAACAAACGAGTGACAATCATACAACACTGGTTAATCATTAGTCATCATATCGTTACTCAGTTTGCTAGTAATAGCTTTTCGCCTCTCGTATGTAATATAGTATCATTTTGCGTTTTGTTTGACTTTTTGCGTTTTGTATAAGTAATCGTGTTGTTAAGACCAAGGAACATCGAATCGTTTAGCGATTAATATAAGGTATCATTCAAATGATCATTTACTAAGGTATATAAGTAGGTACACAGAAAGAGACTTATCACCGGGTTTGTACTTACAATAGAAACACGACGGGTGCCACATCTTTTCCAAGGCATAAGCAGATAACAATGAAATAGATCCTGATTTTTTTCAAAGATAACATGCATGACTAATTAGTGCATGCTAGTATGTGTCCATGTTCATACCGTAGTTATTAGAGTATGAACATGGACACGTACTAGTATGCGCTAATTAGTAATGCATGTTATCGTTGAAAAAAAGCAGGATCTGCTTACTCTTCCGGAGCCCCTGAGATCATCCCCGTTTTTTAGTCGAGCTCTTGTTGATCAGTTTTCAGTTTACTTTGTTGTATTTTGTATACTGTTGTTTGTCTTTTGGTCTTTTCTTTTGTTGACATTGCGTCGTCATTTTATGTTTGACCGTTTGAATTTCCCTGTGGTATCTTTCGCTCCCCTCGTATATAAGATACAGTTCAGCTGTTTGTGTAGCGTAAGGCATGTACTATAGTTTATCGCTTAGTATACTAAATTTCAATCTCATTAATCACAGTTAGAGTGGTATGTGAAGATAATGAGGTAAGAATACGAATACATAAATGATTTGATAAATGACAGCAAGAATGCCTGTTTATCAACGTAGAAAATATGTTGATTAATGAATACCATAAATATAAAAAAAATATAAAAGATTAAGCATAAAAAGATGTTTTGTTCGCAAAATTAAATATTACTGGATTATTGCTTCAGCATATGAAACATACAAGGTGTCTGATATTGTAATTCACGTTACCGTTTTGTTCATATCATTAGTTATTGACTAGAATGTCTTATATTCTCGTTGAATACTTTCTTTCGTACATTTAAAAAAATGTATTTGCTGCACTGTTCTAATAAATGTACACAACATACGTCAATATAGGTGAAATTCAGTTCTTCCTTAATTCATTTTAGTGAGCTAAAATTGTTTGTATT